AGGGAGTCCTTCAACAAGATGGATTGACACGGTGGCTGCGATGATGGGCTCAAGTATAGCAGGGATTGTGGGGCTGGCGCAGGATTGGGCAGTGTTTCATTCTGCTGTGCATGGGGTCACTATGAGTTGGAAATGACTCGACGGCACGTAACAACAACAACAACAACTGACAAATAAGTCCCAGTGTGGTGCAATGGGTTTCTCTTTATTTATGTTTGCAGTGTTCTCTCCCTTCCCCTCCCACCCCTGGTAACCAACAAAGAAAGTTTCCTTCCATATATAAACCTTTCCTTGCCTTTTTGCAATGAGTTTCTTTCATATGACCTTTCTACATCTGGATTTGTAATTCTCCCAAAGCGACTGGTTAGCTTGCAGTCTTGCAAGTGACTGGTCTGTTTACTATCTGCATAAGCAATTTGCAGAGATTGGTCAGTTTTCTAGCCACATACAGGGTTTATAATCCACCCAATTGGATGGAGTATATTGTGTTCCACCTAGGGCATTGGTTGATTTGCTGTCCTACTGGGAGGAAAAGGCCTTGAGATTAACAGGCTGTTTTCTTGTATTAGTGCCAATCTCACAGAGGTTTTGGGGGCACCTGGTGATTATCAAGAACCTGGAATGGATCCAGACCTTTGGACCTGGAGTCCTTTTGGACCTGGGATACCTGTACTGAGAGACTTCTAGACCCAAATAAAAGAGCTGTAATATAGGTCAAGAACTGTAACACTGAAAATGAGGACAGACAGTGGGCTAGGCTATCATAGAGAGAAGCTGGGTATCTCCAGGGCAGCACGAGCTGTGCAGGCCCACTGGACAGCCTGGTAAAAGGCAGGAGCCATGCAGGCCCCAGAAATATCACTGCAGAAGGAGATGGGCATGCCCCCAAGCAGTGCAGGTGGCATTGGCGGAGCTGAGTACCCTGGGCAGGGTGGCAGGAGCCATTGACAGCCGTGCCAGTGCTGTGAACACAGCATCTGACCCGAACCACTGTGAGCCTGCTGAATGACAGAAATACGAATATGAGTAATTTGGGGCAAAGGTCAGCTGGGACTCTCCTTTTGAGACACAAGTAGGTTCTGCTCCTACAGAGTGAGCTGTATGTAGGGGAGGCAAGACTGGTTCACCATAGGTAATTTGTTCTCATTGTTTACCAGTATGGTGCTATAAATAATGATAATGACTTTCACTTTGCCAACACTATGTAAGTGCCTCATGTGTACAGCTCGATCATACTGAATGAACATAGCCATGCAGTTGGTGAAGTCCTCATTCCTAGCTGTCTTATTCCTGCTTAAAATTCTGAGGCACAGTCTGTCTGCGTGTGCAGACACCCAGGCACCTTATGAAGAATTAGAGATAACAGTCTTTGCTCCACAGCACTTCACCCAGGTAGGGAAGACAACAGGTGTAATAAAAGTGTCACTTGATGGCACATAACAAGAACCACAGAGCCAAGTACAAGGTTCAAGGAATAAAGGATGATTCCACTTGCCAGATGTAAATGTCAGGGAACATCAGAGCAGGCTTCCTGGAAGGGATGATTCCTGATTCAGAGTTTGAAGTCTCAGGATGGGACAGGCTAACTGCTGCCCTAGAGTAGCCCCACCCCATGCAGTCGTGCACTTTGTTGATGGGTTACAGAGGAACTCATCAAGAAGGTGAGAGGGAGCTGAAATCTAGCTCTTGTCCAGTTCACCAAGCTTCGATGGGGCCTGTGTTTGCAGGAAGAGGGGGACCTCTTTACCTTGCTGGAAGGCAATCACATGCTTGCCAAGCCATGAGCAGCACTGCCAGGCTGTGACCTTCCAGACTCTCTTCTTTCCCTAATTGTTCTGCCCGGAGGGAGGGGCCTTTTTAAAGCCACAGCAGTCATGGGTACATGCGAGAATGGTTTAGAAAAGAACTACATTTCAACAATTGCAGTAGTTCAATCACACCAGGTGAACAAAGCTGTCCTCTTTGTGCATGACTTTATCTGTTATTACTAAGGAGTGTGCTTTTATCCTGAATATGAAGTGGCTGGAGGTGAATAGAACAAGATTTACATTTCAGAGAGCTCCCTCTAGCTGCTATGTGGAAGAGAACAGCCACTATAAAGTGGAGGCCAATCAGAAATATGTGCTGTGATCCTGTCCTCAGTAATATGACAGCTCCAGTGGAAGAGGTGGCTCTGTGAGGATAGTGAGACTGGACAATGTGTGTGGCATATCATTAACAGACTATGTGTGGTTAATTTGTGTCCCTGTTTTCCAGAATAGTCTTGGTTTATAATGTTCCATCCCATATACTCATTTGTTGTTGTTGTTGTTGTGTGTCGTCGAGTCAAACCCGACTCATAGTGACCCCTCCTTGGGTTTCCGAGGCAGTATCACTACGGAAGTAGGATTGCCCAACCTTCCTTCCGAGGAGTGGCTGGTGGGTTTTAACCACCAGCTGTCTAGTTAGCAGGCAAATGTCTTAGCCACTATGCTACCAGAGCTCCCATATACTCATTAGGACATGTGTTTCCATCACTGATAAATACATTCTGTAGGATTAGGGGTGCGTGGGTATATGTGCATATGTATGTGTGTGTGTGTGTGTGTGCTGTGAGAGGAGATTCTGAAAATATGATGACCAATTAGAAAATTTGTTTAGGTGGAGAAGTAATGAGGATGTGGCTTAGAATGGTGATAGTAGAAGAGGAAAGGAAGGGACAAATGGGAAAACAGTACAGAGAAGGAATTGCTGGGACTTGGCAGTTGATTGGCATTTGGAGAAGTTTTGCTCACTTCCTGCCCATGTCATTACCTAACTGTGGGAGGAAAACCCAGCCTTGATGTTAGCTTTATTAATTAGATGTAGAAAAGATGATAGAGAATTTATTCCAAACAATTTCATATAGTACTTGGAAAGTATGCAAAACTCTGACAGATAAGATCAACTCCTCCTCTCCAAATGCCAGTTTCCATTTTTCCATATGTAATTTAATTAATGGTTGGGAAGTGCAATTGTGTGCAAGTAGAGGAGCAAATTTCTAAAGCATTCACTTGGAAAGCAAAGAAAAATAGAGCTTGTAATTAATATTTTTATTTTCCTTTTGAATGAAGTTTTGTGATATTTATTACTTTTTTTGGTCTTTTTAATTATCTAAAATGTGATATTTATTTTAGTTTATAATCAAGCTGGGTTAGGAACAAAAAAATATAATTTTTTTCTGAAAACAGAAGGATAAGTAAAGGATGACTTTTAGAAAATTTTGCCAATGATTTGTTTCAAATAACCTTTTTCTTTCTTTCATCTATAAATTCTCTAGTTCCCCACATAGAAATTAAAACTTAATTACCCCTAATCAAATAACCCAAAACACCAAACTCATTGCTGTTGAGTTGATCTCAACTCATAGCGACCCCTCCTTGGGTTTCTGAGGTGGTATCTCTATAGAAGTAGATTGCCTAACCTTCCTTCCAGGAGTGGCTGGTGGATTTGAACTGCTAGCCTTCTGGTTAGCAGTCAAATACTTCTAGTAATTTTACCAGTACCAGTTGCCATAGAGTCAGTTTCAGCTCATGGTGACCCCATGTGTGTCAAAGTAGAATTGTACTTCATAATGTTTAAGTGGCCTTTTTGGAAGTGGAACATCAGGCCTTTCTTCTGAGGTTCCTTTGAGTGGGCTTGAACCTCCAACTCTTCATTGAGCAGCTGAGATTGTTAACCATTCACAGTACTCAGGAACTCCCAGCAATCTATGAGATAAAAACAAAACTTTTAAAAAAACTTTTATCTGGTGCCAACACCTTTATTGGAATAAACTAAGATAAGGTCATGAACTGGCCCCCTTAGGTAACCAAATTTACAGGACTTAATAAAGTAGGACTTCTCTAGTCTGCCCCATTCCAGGTATTTTTCTTTAGCCTCTTTTTTCTTCCTTCTTTTGGGTAGATCTGAATATAACCTGGTCAGAGTTGTAATTTCTTTTTATTTTTACTTAAGTGAAGTAAGAGTCAGTTATACATTTTTAAAGATAATTTTTTTAGACACTGAATGAAAGTCCTGCTTTCAGTTGAGCCCAAAACACAATTTTTAAAAAAAATTTATATTGTGTGTGGATGTATGAGTGTGTGTACGTGTCCAGATTGGGAAAGTAAATGAGAGAAATGTTTTTAAGAGTCTTTTGTTCCCTTCAGAGACCAAATTTATAATTGTCTGTTGCTTTTAAAAATCTAGGTTTATTTATCATTAGGTTTTTCAAGCATAAGAACTATGTATACAATTGCTACCATTGCTCAATTCAATGATTAAAATCCAGAAAAACAAGCAAATGATAAATTCATTAAATGGTAATAGAAAAGTAATACACAGGACAGCCAGCCTATAAAAGAACCAAAAGTTAAAAATAAGCTCTGATTTTACAAAATATATTGACTTCTCTGTACTGAGTGTTTAGTTAACTAAATGAGTATTCCTTAGTCATACTTTTGTGTTATTTCCTTAGATATCTCCACAATAAAATAAAAATGAATATTTTTCCCAGTCTCAAAGATCAATTTATAAAGTACAGAAATGCTTAAAGTAACATTAATCTAACTATTCTTAACCATGCAGACTTTGATGTATAAAGGTACATGTGAGATTGAAGAAGAATTTATCTATTTTTTTGGTTATGCCTTTGTAATTGTTCTTTTGCCAATATCTAAACATCAAAAGACTTTTGAATTCTATTTCTGGACCCTGAAATACTCCTTCCTCCACCATTCTGTTCCTCTATGATTATACATTTTAGTAGGGACATAAATATATTTATGCTGCTTTTGACAGAAGAAATTTACATGTATAAAAGCAGAAGCTACATAAAAATCCATTGAATCTGAGTTTACACAAAGGTCTTATGTCAGTATATTGATCAAAGTGTCATGACGTTGTTTCTTTATAGGAGTAAACCATATACAGCCTGTGGAGGAGGCAATCATGGTTATAACAATAAGTTTAAGAGCATGGAGGTGAGTTACTGCATTTTTTTGAGCAAATATTTATTGAATACCTACTTCTCTGTACTGAGACACTGTTCAAGACTCTTGACTATATCCTTGAAGAAAACAAAGATTCCTGCCCCCAAGAAGTTTTCCTTCCAGTAGAAGGATATATGCAATAAGCATAATACATGAATTTATAACATTGTATGTTAGATGTTAAGGGTGATGAGGAAAATAAAGAAAAAAGTAGAGCAGAGAAAGGGGGAATTGGGAGTGTTTCAGCTTAGCATGGGGGGAAGATACAGCTTTAAATAGGGTGGAAGGTAGGCTTCATTGAGAAGATGACATTGGAATGGAGACTGACATTGGAGTAGAGAAGGAGAAAAGGGAATTAACCTTTGAAATCTCCCAGGAGCAAACAGAAACAGAAAAAACAGCCAGGAGAAAAGGCCCAAGTTGGGGAGCATCCAACTAACTGGAAGGATGCTAGACTCTGGATGCTGCTGATTATTGGGGAGACAGTACATGATCAGTTAGACATCTTAAATTTCAAACGTGTTAGACCTGCAAGAAGAGATACAGAATTGACAATTACTGAGAGTCTGTCCTGAAGTTAAGAACTCAGTTTTAGGCATATAAATGATTCAAAAGATGCAACTGGATGAGATCTCTAGAGATTGAACAGAGACAGAGGAGAGGACCAGGTACAGAGATGATTTTGGGGAGAAAACAACTTACTGGCCCAAGCAGGAAACAAGCGTAGGAGTAACCACCAATAAGGGAGAAATGAAACCAGGGATATGTACTATGTTGGGAAGAAAGTGGATGGATAAGTCCACTGTAAAATGCAGGTGGTAAATCCTCCATAGGTTCAACTTTATTATTTTTGCAACCTGATTGTCTTAGCTAAATCTCTATAGACAGAGATTTTCTTTTATGTAGGGCAATAGATGATAACAGAGATAATTGTGTTGTGGTTGTTATGTGCCGGAGAGTCGGACCGGACTCACAGCGACCCCTCCTTGGGTTTCTGAGGCAGTATAACTACAGAAGTAGATTGCCCCATCTTGCTTCCGAGGAATGGCTGATGGGTTTGAACCACCAGCCTTCTGGTTAGCAGTCAAGTGCCTCAGGCACTATGATAATTACTCAAAGGAAAACCTATGCTTCAAATTCTTTCTGATAATCTTGGGGAAAAGAAAATAAATCTTCCACGGTCCCAAATCAAAACCAAACTCACTGCCCTTGAGTTGTTTCTGACTCATAGTGACCCCTCCTTGGGTTTTCGAAGTGGTATCTCTACAGAAGTAGATTTCCTGGTCTTCCTTCCACAGAGTGGCTGGTGGGTTTGAACTACCAGCCTTCTGGTTAGCAGTCAAATGCCTTAGGCTAGGGTTTCTTCTAGTGATTTACAATATAAAACAATGAGATTTGTTATAAATAAAGTAACTAAGGTTGTTGTTGTTGTTGTTGCTGTTGTTTGCCGTCGAGTCGGACCTGACTCATAGCGACCCCTCCTTGGGTTTCCGAGGCAGTATCACTACAGAAGTAGATTGCCCCATCTTCCTTTCGAGGAGTGGCTGGTGGATTTGAACCGCCAGCCTTCTGGTTAGCAGTCAAGTGCCATAGCCACTATGCTAGCAGAGCTCCCTAACTAAGGTAATGTTAATGAAATAAACAGCAAAATATTTAGATCTCTTTATGCTAAAAATAAAGGGGAGATGCAGTTTAGAAATAAGAGGCTTAAGAAGTGGGATACAGGGAGGAGAGACAACTCAGGGACGCCCAAAGCAGCAGGCAGGAAGAGCAGGAGAAAGGGGATAAAAGCCAGGAACCCAGACAGAAGAGCAGTCAGCCCCAGGGATACAGGTGAGGAGAGACAACGCAGGGACGCCCAAAGCAGAAGACCAGGAGAAAGGGGATTAAAAGCCAGGAACCTGGACAGAAGAGTAGTCAGCCCCTGGGATACAGGTGAGGAGAGATAACTCAGGGATGCCCAAAGCAGCAGGTGGGAAGAGCAGGAGAAAGGGGATTAAAAACCAGGAAGCCAGAGAGAAGAGCAACCAGCCAAAGGGATTAGGTGAGGAGAGGAAACTCAGGCCCGCCCAAAGCAGCAGGACGGGAAAGCAGGAGAAAGGGGATAAAAGCCAGGAACCCGG